CATCTGTTTCACAGCCGCAAATATTTAGATCACCTCTCAAAAGAATGAAACAAAGGTATGTGAACAAAATGCAGGTTTTGGCCATTTGCAATCCACATTAAGCACCCGCGGCAATATTTCAATCATTAAACAGTGCGACAAAACTGAGTAAAAACACTTAATATATTTAAAACAGTAATATTCTCTATATTAATGATGCACAGTTTACATAGGCAAGCATTAGGGCCGGAATATGAACGCAATCCGCTTAATGGTTCAGTGTTTTCTATGGGAAACCATTTAACGGTGAAACTTTGCACATTGCTTTATATTCTGGCTTCATCTGCTTGCCTGTACAACATATACATAATCAATAAGGTGTTTACTGAATTTCGCCTTTTAATATCTGTGTTTTACTATATTACTACTTAATGCAAACTGCGTAAAAAATACTGTTTTGCCCTCCAGGTGGGCGTTCCCATACGGGTGTGACGTCACGTGAAAACTATCAATACCCTAACCCTGTACCTGAAAAACTTAGTTTATTTATTTACAGTGGTGTGAAAAAGTTTTTGCCCCCTTCCTGTTTTTTTAATTGTTTGCATATTTGTCACACTTAAAAGATTCAGATCATCAAACAAATTTTAATATTACACAAAGATAACCTGAGTAAATACAAACTGCAGTTTTGAAATTATGATTTCATTTATTAAGGGAAAAAAGCTGTCCAAACCTACCTCCCTACGTGAAAAATTATTTGCCCCTCCTCTTAAATCATGAAAGAACTGTGATTAACCACATTATTTTAGAAAGTGACCTTAATTGAGGCAAGTGAGGCCTGCAGTTCTTTAGATGTTGTTCTGGGTTCTTTTATGACCTCCTGGATGAGTCGTCGTTGCGCTGTTGGAGTAATTTTGGTAGGCTGGCCACTCCTGGGAAGGTTCACCACTGTTCCAAGCTTTCTCCATTTGTGGATAATGGCTCTGACCGTGGTTCGCTGGAGTCCCAAAGCCTTAGAAATGGCTTCATAACCCTTTCCAGGCTGATACATGTCAGCTATTTTGTTTCTCATCTGTTCTTGAATTTCTTTAGATCGCGGCATGATGTATTGCTCTTTAAGCATGCTTCTCTTTGTCAGACAGGTTCTATTTAAGTGATTTCTTGATTCAACAGGTCTGGCAGTAATCAGGCCTGCGTGTGGCTAGTGAAATTTAACTCAGCTTTCTAAAATAATGTGGTTAATCACAGTTCTTTCATGATTTAACAGGAGGGGCAATTAATTTTTCACGTAAGGCCCGGTAGATTTGGACAGCTTTTTTCCCTTAATAAATGAAATTATCATTTAAAAACTGCATTTTGTATTTACTTGCATTATCTTTGCGTAATATTAAAATTGGTTTGATGATCTGAATCTTTTGTGTGACAAATATGCAAACAATTAAAAAAACAGGAAGGGGGCAAAAACCTTTTCACGGCACTGTAGTTAGTAATTAGTACATTGTATTTGTCCTATTGTTTATATATTTTATTTTATTTACCAGTTTTTTTATATGCAAATGTTTTTAATTTTGTATTAATGAATTTTATTTATGTAGTAAGTATTTTTCTATGTGTTTCAGGGCCTTTTTACAGATGACTGCTAGTCATGACTGCTGTCACCTTAAATGGCATTTGTTTTATAATATTTGTTTGGCTGAAATGAGAAGACAAAAACAATAGATTTAAAAAGTCAGTGATTTTTTTCTTCAAGAAATATTAATCTGTCTACTGCAGCCAATTAAGAAAAGTAACACATAAAAAGTAAACTAGAATCTTAAATTATCCAAATAGAAGTGACTTTATAACACTGTCTCTGGGTCTTTGTCAAGTCAAGTCACCTTTATTTGTATAGCGCTTTATACAATACCGATTATTATACAATATTTTGTAATGTTATTAATACGAAACACTTCATCTATAATTATCTGTCTTGCATGATACTGTACAAATATTCCATTCATACAGTTAATCACATGATCAGCTTTATACACATCTGAAATACTATATTTCCTTTCATTTCTGAAAGACAATATTTTATAGAGTCCACATGACTCCAGTAATCCTTCAGTGTTACTGAATGAACCGCAGCAAATCTCTCGTGTCACAACATTCACAGACGAACTGAAGCAGCAGATTCCAGCTGAACATCCACATGGACGGGTTAGTTAGGGTTTCATAATCTAGCAGTACTACAGTAATCTTTCTTTCTTTCTTTGCTGCTGTAGTTTCAGGACTTTTATATAAACTCAGGTTATATAACCAGAATAACAGAGCAGAATGTGACTTTAAAAGGACAGTCCACCCAAAAAAGATCATTTGTCATCTACTCACCCTTTATGTTATTTAAGTCTTTATGACTGATCTTCTTCTTTGAGACACAAAACAATATATTTAGAGAAATCTTGAGGTACAAATAACATTGAATCCCATTGACCTTCATTGTATGAAAAGAAAAAAAATGAGACAAAAATGATGTTTTGTGTTCCTCTAACGAAAGTCATACTGGTATGCAATGACAGAGTGAGTAAATGACAGCAGAATGTCTATTTTTACATGAACTAACCCTTTAACATTCACTATGGGAGTGAAGGAAAGGCAGCTGGACAGACAGATTCGGCTCTGGAAACACAGACAGAACGAGACAATGACCGGACAACAGAGAAACAGACAGATGAAAGAAAGAGATGAATGAAGAGGAATCTTAGTGTCTGTCATGTTTCCTTCTAGAATCCAGCAGTGATGAAGATGAAGACGATCGTGACAGCAGTGAAGAGTTCACGGACAGCATAGAGGACAACGACCTCAAACTGACAGCTCAGAGTTTGACCAGCGCACAGGTAAGAAGAAAACAGCTGTTAATGAGCAAACACTTTCATTCAGAGCTTTCTCTGTCAGCGCCACGTCTCCTAGAGTTCAGGGTTTGATCGTCCATCTGTGGTTCAGATATTTCAGTTATCAGGCAGATGAAAGCCACACACCCTTCAGATATTATGATTTACTTAAAGACACTATAGCATCAAAATATTTGTTTTGTGGCTTTTAATTCACATCTGTAGCTTAAAGCTTGTTTATCTCTAGTGCTAGCATACATGCTAAAAGACAATGTCTTTAACTCACATACACATTTAAGCTGTAAAGCTTACTTTCTGAAATACAATGTTCTTTAGAAATTGGCTCTTCCCTTTGATAGGTTCCACCTGACTTCCTGTGTCAACAGGAAATACAATCAACACACACTGGAAACAAAGCGCTGCTCACTGAGCCCTTTCATTGGGTCTTTAACATTTGTTTGTATTAGCGTAGCTCAGAGCTCACTGTGTTCTCCTGACAGAGAGCCGAGGAGTTCAGCAGCCCGGGGAACGGGGCGCTGATGTCCCAGCATGCATCAGAGCAGAGAAACGAAGGCGGGACGGGCCGCTCCTCACTCTCTCGCAGCAGGTACCAACAGCGGTGCAGATCACTTCTGTTTGATGGCTTCTTCCTGCTCTGCTGTGATTGTGTCGTTGCTTTCGTAGGAACGAGCCTGCATTAGCAGCAGATGAGGAGGAATCTGCGAGGTTGGAGAAGCGTGAAACAGACCGGCCAAACTCCCATGAGCCTCAGAGAGTTTACCGTATGTTCAGAGAGGACGAGGAGGAAGAATATGATGATGAAGAGGAAGGGGAAGATGCCCGGGCCCGTCACGGCAAGCGCGGGCCCCCGAGTGTGGAGCTGCGGGAGGGGAGGTGGAAGAGGAGGTGCACCAGACCACATTCTCTGGACCTCGGAGCTCTGCTGTCACACAAACCTGCAGCCCATCTCAAAGTTCAGGTAATAAATCATGCCACATCGTCCACATAACTAGCACTGGTTAACCCTAACCTGGTTAATTTCAATACAGCAAAGTACAGATAGTAGTACTAAAAATGCTCAGGCAAGAACATTGGTTTGTGAAGGATTCAGTGTGTTTATTTTATGATCAGGATGTAGAAATGGAGCAAGAGGTTGATGGCGACAGCGGCTGTTCGAGAGCAGGAAGAGGCGGAGCCATTGGGTTCTGGCAGCATGTGGAGGCGGGGCTTCGGGAGCAGGCGGAGCGTCTCCGTAGTGACCTTGCCGTGAGTCGTCAGGAGAGCCGTGATCTGCAGGAGAGACTGATGGTGTCAGAGGCGACAGTGCAAGCGCAGGCCGAACAACTGAAAGACTACAGAGAGCTGCTGAGTGAGGAGACACACACACACACACACACACACACACTCTCTCTCTCACACACACTCACACACACACACACTCACACACACACACACACACACACACAATCTCACACACACACACACACAATCTCACACTCATACACTCACAATCTCACACTCACTCACACACATGCACACACTTACTCACACACTCACTCATAAACACACACACCCCTGTTGTTTGTGCTGACTGGTTTTGTCTCTGTCAGCCGACAGCGCCGTCCAGCAGGACAGTAAACAGGTGCAGGTGGATCTTCAGGATCTTGGATATGAGACGAGCGGCCGCAGTGAGAATGAAGCTGAGAGAGACGATGCCAGCAGCCCCGGTACACACACCTGACACACACCGTACCAAAGTCATGAATACACAGTGGGTCCAAACTAGTGCTTCTGTTTGCAAGCTTTCCTAATAGAATGCAAACCTTTTGAAAAGTTAAACAGAAAAATGTGAAAGTGAGAACGACTTTTGCTTAAATGACAGCAGCACTGGAGCTACATGAACAAAAGCTTATTATCATGTTCATGAGACTCTTCTGTACACAACACATCTATATTTCTGCTGCATTCTGGGATGCCAATGATGCTGTGCATCTCATTCACAAATGTTTTGCACTGGATGAACATTCACCATGTGCGCAGCTCACACGCATGTCATGTTCATCTGTCAGAGTTTGGTGAGTTGGAGACGTGCATCTCTCTCTTGGATTCGGGGAGCAGATGCAGCGGTTGGCATGGCAACAGCGATGGTACGCAGACAGACGACCCGTCCTCGCTGAAGCGTTTGGTGCAGGACCTGCGCTCACAGCTCTCTCACTGCCACAAAGTGATCCGCGGCCTGCAGCTGCGAGTCCGTTCGCTCACTGCAACCTCCGACTACGCCTCCAGCCTGGAGCGCACGCCACGCAAGGTAACGCTCCCCTGATGTCATTATTCATCTGTTACTAACACTGCAATCACCTCATTTACAGACTCGCATCAGCTTGATAATATTATACTTTGATATGTTGCTCTAAAATACTCGACTGTGATTGTCCAGTCATTTTGTGATCAATAATCTGTAACGACACCAAACAGTATAGTGTTGGATTGTTGAATTCCTACACAGCTGTGCTGATTTCATGTCTCTCTAATCACTCCGCACTCTTACTTTGGTCTCTCCCTCAGATTATTAGTTCACGTTCATTCATGTATTCATTTGATAAAAAGCCTCAGGGACAGTCTTGTGATGATGAACTCTGTGAACCCATCAGGTGAACTGGGCGCTTCAGGTGAGTGCGGATCACAGCGGTCCGGACGAGGACGAGGGCTGGCAGTCCGACGGGCCGCTGAGACGCAGCCGCGAGCTGCAGGAGCTGGTGACCCGCGTGGCGCTGCTGGAGACCCAGATCAAGAGCTCCAAGCTGGAGGGGAAGAGCGGCGCGGAGGGCGGGAAATGTGCCACCTGGCCAAGGTGAGGCGCTTTCTGCTGTACAGATTGAGTCAAAGCAGCTTCACAGTAATAAACAGGAAAATAACAATCAATGATTAAAGGGGTCATGAACTGAGAAATCAAATTTCCCTTGATCTTTTGACATATAACAGGCCAATGTACTATAGAAACATCCTGTAAGTTTCTAAACTCCAAACTTTCTGGTTAGTCTAAAAACAGCTTATATTGAAACCAAGCTCAGAAAACGACTTGTTGTGGAATGAGCCACTTTATGGCGTAATGGTGTGGCTAAACCCCGCCTCCGCAGGAGAAGATCAACGCCTGCTTCTACATCACTGCCTCTTTAGCCCCGCCCACTGATACATGCTTGTAGTAGAGGAGAGACGCAAACACAGGATTACTCCATCAACAGAAGCAGACAGATGACATTACAAGATCACAAGACACTGTGTAGTGTAAGTTGTGAAAAACAGTCTTTGAATTGCCTTGTGATCCTAACATATCTAGACTGGACACGTCAGGTGTAAACACGGGGTAAATTAGCAAAGAGCTCCAGATCGCATCAGTGTTAGTTTGTTTGCTTTACTTTGCTACGGATTAATTTTTAAACAAGACAGTATGATGCAGGCTTTTCAGAGAGACTGAGAGTAAAGGCTGATGCAGCGCTGAGTCTGACTAGAGCGGATCCGACAGTAATGTGTCACACAGAAGTGTGAGGGAACGTGCTTTCACCACTATTGCATTGTCTGTTCCAGACGGTTTGATATATACTGAGGATTCACACATTTTTAACCCAAACGACCCATGTTGTTTGCAGAGTACATCACAGCAGCGTCCATCTGTTATTTTAATAAGCAAAACTGTTATCCAATCACAGCAGTGGGCGTTTCCTTGAGTCTTGAATGAGCCCCGCCTATAAAAACAGAGCGTTCTGCAGAGAGGCTCAAAAACAGGAGAGAAAATAGCCTGTTACTTCTAAATTATGATGTTTTTTGTTGTAAAATCACACTAACATTATTAGTGAACCTCAGACAACATTATAAAATAATAAAAAATGAAGGTCATGACCCCTTTAACACTGTGTCTTAAGAACTAATGTGACCCACTAGCAGTTAGAGGTAATCAGTCTCACATTTCATTCATTTTACAATATGAATTAAAAAAGTTATGACCAGTCTTGAAGAAAAAAATTAGATGACAATCTTTTAAGTCTCTTCTAAGCAGTTTCTGCAACTGGCCACAGTTCAGTGTTGGTTCAGTTCAGTTCAACAGCTGTGCAAAGTCCATCAGTTATTAAATCCACTTTGGCTCTAAGCCGCTCTACAGATGACAATCGTGTTGGTGATGTTCAGTGCTGATGTGTGTTTACGAGCACCTGTTGATGACTTCTTCCTGGTCTTCTGCTGCTGCGCTGTATAAATCATCAGCCCGGGGTTTTCAGAGCAGATGCAGCAACAAACAGTGCAGGACTCGCAACATATATTTTTGTTTGTACAGGAAGTACAACACACTGATCCAGGCACAGGCACGAGAGCTGTCACACCTGCGGCAGAAGATGCGAGAGGGGCGGGGCATCTGCCACATCCTCACGCAGCACCTGAGTGACACGACCAAAGCCTTCGAGGAGCTGCTGCGCGCCAACGACATCGATTACTACATGGGCCAAAGCTTCCGAGAGCAGCTTTCCCAGAGTTCCTCACTCGCTCAGAGAGTCAGCACCAAGATCAGTGGACGTGAGTGTGTGCACACACTCCTTACACACACACACACACACACACACATACAGTAAAGCATGTCAGCAGCTGCATGCAGTCGTTTGTT